CCGACGTCGGACGTGCGCTATGTGAGACACAAATCGTCTTCCTCAGACTTTCAAAATTGGGTGTGGGCGACGCTGCTGCCCCAGGCGGATGGCATTCTCACAGAGGTCAGTCGCAATTCGGCTTCTCCTCCCCGAGTGTTCGTTTGTGCTGGTGGCGTGACGGCCGCCCCAACCCGTCATCGACACAACCGCCCCTCCCCACCGAGATGTACTCGCCTTGTTGGAGAGTCTTGTTGGAGAGGGAGTACGAGAGCCTCTGATGGTCAGGTCGCACGCCCGCTGGCTCCTGTCTCCCGAGAACCACCAGGCGGTGCGCAGCGCGGTGCAGCCAGGCGGCATGCCGACACCACCCGACACCTCCCGACACCTCTCGAGACACACCCGACACCACCCGAGGCACACCCGAGACCTCCCGACACCTCCCGACACCACTCGAGACACACCCGAGACCACCCGACACTCCCGACACCACTCGAGACACACCCGAGACCACCCGACACCTCCCGACACCACTCGAGACACACCCGAGACCACCCGACACCTCCCGACACCACTCGAGACACACCCGAGACCACCCGAGACACACCCGAGACCACCCGAGACACACCCGAGACCACCCGAGACACACCCGACACCTCCCGACACCTCCCGACACCACTCGAGACACACCCGAGACCACCCGACACCTCCCGACACCACTCGAGACACACCCGAGACCACCCGACACCTCCCGACACCACTCGAGACACACCCGAGACCACCCGAGACACACCCGAGACCACCCGAGACACACCCGAGACCACCCGAGACACACCCGAGACCACCCGAGAGTCCCCGGTGCGCCAGGCGGCATGCTGACACGAGCTCTCTTCGAGTCCTGGGACACGACGGGGAACCGCGCGCTCTCCGTCGCCGAGATCGAGGCGAGATCGAGGCGAGATCGGGCCGAGATGTGGTCGAGATGTGGCCGAGGTGTGGCCGAGATGGGGCCCGAGATGGGGCCGAGATGTAGCCGAGATGTGGCAGCTTTCCGTCACCGAGAGTGTGATGCCAAGTGGCCAACGTGCGCGCGAGATGAGCCGAGATTGCCGCGAGAGCTGCAGGCTGGGATCCGGCCGATGCTAGGAAGTGTCCAGGTAATGTCTAGGAAGTGTCTAGGAAGTGTCTCTTGCAGGCTGGGATCCGGGCGATGCTCGCGGAGGACGTGGAGCGGCCTGCAAACTGCGCCGTCATCGCCGTCGCGAAGAAGATTGTGCGCTGCCATTGACTAGTCAACTCACAGGCCATAGAGAAAGGACAACAGACACCTCGAGAGGGGGGGGGGGGGGGGGCGCACTGGCGACTCACAAAGTTTTGGTCTGATGAACTGCCAGGTGCGCGAGTTGCCAGAGGGCGCCAGAGTCTCCCTCGCACAGTTCGAGAGACTGGCGGCCGCGGAGGCGGCCGGCATCGAGCAGGGCCGTGAGTGCGAACGGCGTCTCTGCACGCCTGCACCCCCCCCGTGAACAGGTGGCCGGCATCGAGCAGTCTATCGTGCGGCAAAACTCGAACGACCTGCTCGGCAGGGTCGACTCGAGGGACGTGCAGGGCCGCATCTCCTCCTTCGGGGGCGTCGGGCTGGGCAGCATATGACAACCAGAGCATATGGCGTGTATGCCACGAGGGCGAGATCGCGCGCGCGCTGCTCTCGATTCCACACACTGCTACCTACACGCACACGTGCAACATAGCTAGCCCCTGTGGGGCGTGGCGGGGACGACGTCACACCTTCTTTCACGTGTGTGAGCATGGAGCCATACAGAGCGTTACTTACGTAAAACGGCGTACACGCTGCACGGACCTTACACGTAGAACACGTAGACGACCACGCTGTGGGGGTTGTGTTATAGGAGTAGGAGTGGGGGTGCAGGTTGCTCACCCACGGCACCGGGCCGGTGCTTGCACTTTGAATGCCGTGGGGCTCCTGCCCGTGTCCGGGCGTGGAGATGCGAGGGTCGCCCCCCCTTGCCCCACCACTTTGTGTGTGTGGAGACGTTTACCTTACCTTACCTTACCTTCTTTTCGCGCAACGCGCGGGGCTCGAGCGTCGAGGCAAAAAGAAAAACTGTCTCACTGTGGCTAGTTCCATTTCACTCTGACACGCTAATCTTGAAAACGTCCAACGGAGCTCCGTGTTGCTCCCAGCGCCCTCCCCCGCGCTTCCTGCGGCCCTAGCCGATGGTACTAGCATGGGACAGGTCATCTGGCTACCGCGAGAGCGACCCAACTCGTCGACATCGTCCGATCACCTACCGCCTACAACCTCCCACAGGCAAACCTTCGGCTCCCGCTCAGAGGCTCACCGCGCCCGTGCGGCGCGCCGAGGCGGCGCCGAGGTCGGCGCCTTGCACCCGGCCCGCGGCCGGCACCGCCTCGCCCCACAACTGACCGCCCTGCGGCCCCTGCGCAGGCGTGCCACAGGCGTCGCTCAAAACGACGCCGGGTGTGGGCTGCTCCCTTGACCCGTCACCCGCCGCGCCCTCGCCCGGCCGCCTCACCGCTCACGGAGCGCTCGGCTGCTCGCCGCCGCCGCCGCGCGTCCCGCGCCGCCACGCTTGCCCTCCTTTGCCTGACGCGCGCGCTCTGCACCGGCAGAGCGCGCGTCTGTCACAGACGGAGCAGCGACCGCGCCAGCGGTCGCTGCTCCGCCCCTCCGTCGCGCGCGCCGCGCGCGCGCTGCCGCCGCCGCCGCCGCCGCCGCCCCCTCCTCGCCGTCTTCCCCACCCTACCCTCTGTTGCGCGCGCCGCGCGCTGCGCGCCCCCGCCCCCACCCCCGCCCCCGCCCCCGCCCCCGCCCCCGCTCCCAAGCACCCCTTCCCCGGTAGGTGTGCGTAGAAAGTGGAGCCAATCGAGAGGTGGCAGAAGCCGCCGTGTGTGACACATATTGCGGCGAGTGCGGGTCAGGAGGCCCTAAAACGGCGGGAGGGGTAGGGGTGCCGCTGTAGGGGTGTGGAGGGGTCGGGAGGGCGGGAGTGTGGACCGTGACCTAAAGCCCTCCACCGATAGCGAGGTGTCAGGCGGCAGGGCCCAGGAGGGGTGGGGGCTTGGAGGGCTGGCCAAAAGCGAGGCGTGGGAGGGGTCCAGTGGGCTAGAGAGGGCTGGAGGGGTCGGAGGGGGCTAGAGGGGCCGGAGGGGCTGTGCGGATGGAGGGGTCTGGAGGGCTGGGGGGCTTGGAGGGCTCGGAGGGTGTCGTCCGGCAAGAGGGTCACTAGTGCGAGGGGTGGGGCTCGGGAGGGGTGGAGAGCTCGGAGGGCTCGGAGGGCTCGGAGGGCAGAGAGGCACGAGGGTGGCGCTGGAGGGCTCGGGAGGGCTCGGGAGGGCTCATGAGGGATGGAGTGCCCGGAGGGCTCGGAGGGGCGAGCCACCGAGCCGGGCTCGGGGGGCTCGGAGGGCTCGGAGGGGTCGGAGGGGTCGGAGGGGTCGGAGGGCTCGGGGGGCTCGGAGGGCTCGCGGAGGGGTGTGGAGGGGTCGGAGGGGCCGGAGGGGTCGGAGGGGTGTGGAGGGGTGTGGAGGGCTCGGAGGGCTCGGTTAAAGATACCCTGCAGGCATACGGAAGTGGTGCAATACACATCATGAGGCGTTTCCGTGGTCCTGTGCGCGGACGGGGCCCGGGGAGCCTGCGGCGCTATTTTAACCTGCCCCGACAGAGTCTCTCGATACGGCGCGCGGCGGCGCCGCACCCAGCAAGCTGGGGCCGCTCCTTACGGACTCGTCGCTGCGCTCCTCAAGGCAAACACGAAGCGCGTTTGGTATTCGAAATACCTGGGGTTTCCGCTAAAACGGAAGCGCCACAGCCTCCAGACACACACACTCATATGGAGCTCCTCGCTCGCCCGCCTGGCGGCGGCAGCGGCCATGGCGACGCTGACGGCGGCGGCACTCGTGGCGGTGACACTCGTGGCCGCGGCGGCGCCTGGGCAGCAGAGAGAGCTGTCGCTGCAGTGCTGGCGGCAGCTGGCGGCGGCGGCTGGGGGCGGCGGCTGGCGGCGACATTGCTGGCGGCAGCCATGCGGGGGCGGCGCTGCTGTGGCGGCGAGGGGGCGGCGTTGCAGCGCCCTGCCGCAGCAGGCCCGCCCGGATAGCACTGGCAGTCTGCCGGCGCGGCCGGCGCATTCGAATGCGCCCGCCGCGCCGGCAGACTGTTGGATGGCCACAGTCGCGAACGTGGGTGAAGTCGTGCGGCGCAGAGACCAGCTCATTCGCCGTCGCCGGTCCCTCGATCACGGGCGCCGTCGCCGGTTGACCCACGTCCATGGGCGGATTCAGCAGGCCTGCAGCCCTCCAGCCCTCTAAACCCCTCCGACCCCTCTAACCCTGGGAGGGTGGAGGGGTGGAGGGTGGAGGGGTGGAGGGGTGGTTGAGCCCTCTAGCTCTATCGATATAGCCCTACCCCTCCCGCCGTTTTAGGGCTTGCTGACCCGCTATGATTGCGGCACGTGAGTGAGACAGCCCCGGCGCGCGCGCGCGCAGCGCTGAGCGCAACAGACAGGCGTTTTTTATGCAAACAGCAAACGGGACGGCCTGCGCAGCCTCTAACTATTTCCCACCATGCCACGTCGCCCATGAGTCGCCCCCCCCCCCAAACGCTACACAGCGGGTAGGGGGGGGTGGGGAGGAGGCTGCCGTGTTCCAGCCGTGTGTGTGGTGGTGCCGTTTCTCTGCGTGTAGTGCAATATCTAG